TATCCATGGCAACAGTTTCTCTTTCACATAAAATGGACACTTGTTTTAACATATTTGATAAATTTACAGGACATCTTTCAATGCTTTTGTTTCTTTTTACAGAACTAAAAGAGAAAAAGAAGCCTTGAAAATGACCCTGTAACTCTTTTACAAACTCCCATCTGTACAACATAAGATGTCTCAATATACTGTATAATTTTAGGGATGTCTAGATATGCAGTACGGTACATCACAGAAAATGTTAAATACTTTACTCAACTGGCATTTATCAGACCTTTGAGTTTAATGAAAATACATTTAAAAAGGTTTGTCATCAAATGCCTCTGAGTAAATAGAAAAAAATAAAATGTATTTATTCATGAATCACCTCAGAAATATGGACACACTATCCATTTTATAAAATATCAATGCCTTATGATTAATGCAGTATTAACCATCAGTGGTAATACACTGATGTAAACAATGAACCTGTACCTCAAGTGGCACTGCTTTTTTCACCTATTTTATTATTATTTAGCACAGAAAATCTGCTTTAGGGAAGAAGCTAATTAAGAACGTCAGCTTGAGGGATGTTGAAAATAGATGTGTTTACACAGGACTTTTTTCAGTTACAACACAGGAGAGCTTGATGGCTGAGTCATACATTAAATTTTCATAGCTGAAGATACTGGGGAAGGAGATTTCACAGCTCAACCTTTGAAAAACACACTTTCAAAATAGGATTTCAGACTCCAGCTGGAGCAAAATATACTTGGGTGATACAGTTTTAGCTAAGGGTATCAAATTAAAGCTGAGTTGGGGAGAAGCTGTCACACATTTAATGGTAATACAAACTCACAGTGTGTCTCTGGTACAATAGGAGGTACTGAAACATCTTTTTAAATACAATATGTATTATAGTCAAATGGTTGTTTACTGAAAATATGGACTTGCACTGTATATGTGTAACCTATTTACAAGTAGAATACATAAAACTATAATAGTTTTATAGTTTTGATTTAAATGCAGAAGCCTTTTGTCAGTAGAGTCAGGTAGCATGACCTCTTTTCAAGAACGAAATATAGCATTTTTTGTAACTGATACCGCAAAAAAGTAGTTTTTCCAGGGATAATATCTGATGATATAAAACTGACAAAAACAAAAAAATTTAAGAGACAAAGGTATAAGATGTTGTAATCCTGGACATATTCATGTTAAGGAATGCTTCTGTAACCCGGACATTGAACTGGTTGGCGGAAGTTTACTTGTGCCATCTTTGTTGTTGTTTACATTCCACCCACAGCAAACGCAGAGGCAGTGTGTGACGTCATACACACAGTCACAGCCAGGCAACAAACAAAGCACCCTGGCGCTTTTATATATATATAGCTAATTCAGGGGACTTTAACCACTTCTCTATTTCTACCACTTTGCCTACTTTCCAACAGTTTGTTAAGTGCCTGACCAGAGAAAACAAAACACTGGACTTATTATATGCCAATGCTAATGATGCATATAATTCCACAGCCCTTCCCCCCCTTGGCAGATCAGATCACAACCTTGTCTTGCTTTCACCACTATACATGCCTATTGTCCAGCGCCAACCTGCAACAATGAGGACTGTGAGGAGATGGTCTCAGGAGGCTATGGAGGGTCTACATGGTGCTTTGGAGGCTACTGACTGAGATTTGCTGTGCAAACCACATGGGGATGACATAGACAACATGGTGGGCTGTGTCACTGACTACATTAACTTCTATGTAGACAACAACATCCCCACCAAGGACGTACACTGCTTTTCCAATAATAAACCCTGGATCACCAGTGACCTTAAGGCTCTTCTGAATGACAAGAAGAGAGCCTATAGGAGGGGGGGATAAGGAAGGTACAGAGGGAACTAAAGCAGAAGTTAAGAGCCTACAGGAGGAAGGTAGAGGACAAGCTACAAAGGAGTAGGGTGAGGGATGTATGGAGTAGCATGAGAGAGATCATTGGCTTCAAACAGGCTGGGGTTGCAACAGAGGGGAACCTGGAGATGGCCAACGAGTTGAACCAGTTTTTAAACAGGTTTGATTCAGGGCCCTCTGTGGCTCAACATCCATCTCCCCACAGCCACACGCTCCCTAACCCTTCACAGCTGCGACTGCCCAACACCTCCTCCATCCCCCCACAATCATGACCACCTTCAGCTACAACCCCCAACAGCTACTCACCCCCCATCCCTCACAGCTGCCACTCTCCAACACCTCTGCCATTAACACCTGCAGCACTGACAGTGCTATGAACACCATCCCCCAGGCCAGGCTGACCATCACGGCTGACCAGGTGAAGAGGAAGCTGAAGAGGCTGCACCAGGGTAAGGCTACAGGACCAGATAATGTCTTGTCCAGAGTTCTGAGGGCTTGTGCTGATCAGCTGAGTGGAGTGCTCCAGCGACTGTTCAATCTGAGCCTGCACTTGGAGAAAGTCCCTGTGCTCTGGAAGACATCGTGCCTGATGTCTTCCAGACTCGTACCAAAGAAGGTCTGTAGTCCTCAATGACTACAGACCAGTTGCACTGACTTCTCATGTCATGAAGGCACTGGAGAGGCTGGTCTTATCCCACCTGAGACCCCTGGTTAGTTAATCACTGGACACCCTACAGTTTGCCAACCAGCCCAGTGTTGGCTTGGAGGATGCAATCATCTACATGTTGCAAAGGGCCTACTCACACCTGGACAAGGCCGGCAACACTGTAAGGATTATGTTTTTTGACTTCTCCGGTGCCTTCAATACTATCCAGCTCTTACTTCTAAGGAGGAAGCTGGAGGACATGCAAGTCGTTGCCTCCATGATCTCTTGGATCACTGACTGTCTGACAGGCAGACCACAGTCTGTGAGACTTCAGAACTGTGTGTCTGAACAGGTAGTAAGTAACACAGGGGATCCTCAGGGGATGGTTCTTTCTCCGTTCCTCTTCACCCTCTATACTTCGGACTTTAAATACAACTCAAAGTCATAACACCTGCAGAAGTTCTCAGATGACTCTGCAATTGTGGGATGTATCAAGGGTGGGCAGGAGGAAGAGTACAGAGGACTGGTCAGCAGCTATGTGGAGTGGTGTGGGGAGAACCACCTGCGACTGAATGTAACAAAGATGAAGGAACTAGTGGTAGATTTCAGGAGGAAAATGGTCAAAACTATTCCTATCTACATCCATGGGAATGGCGTGGAGATGGTGGACTCGTACAAGTACCTGGGAGTGCACATCGACGATAGACTAGAATGGTCTAAGAACATCGAGGCCATCTACAAGAAGGGTCAGAGCCAACTTTACTTCTTGAGGAGGCTCAGGTCCTTCAATGTATGTAGTAAGATGCCATTATGGACAACGTCTCCCATCCCCTCTAAGACATGCTTGTGGAAATGAAGAGCACGTTCAGCAATAGACTGATCCATCCACGGTGCGACAGGGAGCGCTACAGGAGGTCATTCTTGCCTTCTGCCATAAGACTGTACAACGCATCCACCTTGCGTCTGGGCAGAGGCAATATTGACAGTGACCTGTTTCTTGACTGAACAGTAAACTGATACATCTGTTCTTTTTCTTTCTTTTTCCAGTTTAAAACTGTTTTTGGGCAATATATTCTGCAATACATTTATATATTTATATTTATATTGTCCAATATGATTTTTTGTCTACTGTTCTGTTCTTTGTGTGTTCTGGACTGTGAGTAACTCTTCATAGTGCACTTCTCACTGTACTGATTGTATTGTATTTATTGTATTATTATAATTGTATCATTCATTACATTGTTGCTGTGTTAAGCTGCTGTTGCACTGCAATTTCCCTTAAGGGATCAATAAAGTATCTATTGAAACCCACCACTATTTCTACTTTAGGGATTCTTTTTTTAAACAAGTAAATTGCAATCAGTATTTTCTATATTAAGAATTAAGAACTAAAACTGGGAAAATACAAAATTGAGCAAATGAATAAGGGGTAAATGAAGTAGTTAATCACCCTTTCAGTGAGGTACACTACCTAGTTTCCATAGTGTCCTTAAGACAAACACTTTTCAATCAGAAATTAATTGAAAATTTGGCAAAGCAGTCTTTTGTTTCCATTGTAACATAGATTATGTGAATTTTTATTTTTTTAATTTTCAAAGCTCTGTGGCGTTATGGGGGGGCATGCCCAGTGTCGAGGCGGAGCCCTGGTAGAAGGGCGACGCCTCGCCTTTGTAGTCCCAGCTGTCCCAGCTTCTAGATGATGAGCCACAGCTGGGCAGGTCCTATAAATGCACACCGGGCACCCTCCAATGGAACGAGCAGGGCCACCCCTGGAAGGGGGAGTTTTATACCAACAGTCCCAGAGAGGATTGCACCCGCATAAGGAATTCTTTGTCTTTTTTTCTTTTTGCCTGTCCCATCACGTATTCTCACTGGAGCAGGCACACCTTTTTCACAGACAAAGTTCTTGTTTTGTTTTTGCCTTACGTACTATGCTCAACCAGACTGGACCCCTCTAAATAGGGTAAGTCTAGTCCGGTTGCCGCTGTGCTAGCGATTCTTTTTTTTTCCCCAGGCTGGACCCTGTTAAAGTGGGTAAGCCCAGCCTTGGAGATCACGAGACACTGAGGCACACAGTTTTGTTTTGCCCTTTTATTTATTTTTCACTTCTTTTTGTATTATTTATGATTCCTGCTAACCTCACACCATTGCTCCCGTCCCCTCACCTGGGGCATTTATTTTTTTACACGGCACCTCCCACACAGCACTGTCAGAGCTTCTTTCAAAAAGTAACTCTGTACAAGCTATTTTATCTATTTTAAATACCTGAATATTAAATTCAATAGTAATGTTCAGAGTGACAACTTTGCAATGTACCAATTGTGTTGCCAAGGGGCCAGATGAAGTCATAGCCATAGCCATTAAAAAGCTACCACAGCAGAGTAACTCCTCATTTCATTAAGTTCAGAAGCCTAAAGAATTAGAGTTAAAATAATCTGGTTAAATTTAGACTATAATTGTTGACTTACATGCAAATTGCACCTTTGCTTCTCTGCTAACAATGGTTCCAAAGGTGTTAGTTGCTATACACTGGTAGATTCCTCCATGTCTGCTTGCATCTGGGGTGTTTATCAGCAAGTTACCTTCAACCAAGTGATAGCTATAGTCCATGTCTGTTTCAATGTCTTGTCCATTAAACTTCCATCTAGATGAAAGAAAAAGTATTATATTGCAGGGTCATCTTAAATGTTTGACAACAACCTAGGCTTTGTTCTTTCAGTTACAACAATTCTAATACTTTTTTATTTATATAGAAAATAAAATGCAGGATCAGGAATAATAAACTTATGAAGATGCAAAGGTCTGTAATGTAATTAGATGGCCTTTGTACTGCATTAGTAGTTATAGAGTGGGTTCAATGATAACCAGCTCAGCAAAATTAAATAAGAACTACAGGTATTGTCACTTCATCCATAAAGTTTCCTTTTACATTGATTAAGTGATTAATAAAAATGTAGCAAATATTATACACCATTTTTACAAATTTACAAAACATTGATAAAAAATGCTCATCTCCATTTAAAACACTTGCAAAAAAATTGAAAATAAAACGCTTGTCACAACATGGGAAAAAAAAAACATGTTTAAAGCAAGCATGGGCTTAAGTTTACCATAAACCCACATCAAGACAATTTGAACCAAAACCAGCTGTGTTAAAAATTATATATTTTATACATTATATCAATTTTTTATATGAAGAAGATCAACAAAATCAAACAGAAAGAAACATATACTACATAAAATAATACAATTTAGACAGAAGAAGACTTACCTATAAGTTGGTATTGGATTTCCTTTAGCTTTACAATTTATAAATATCTTACTATCCTCTGAATTCAAAGGAAACATTATATCACTTGGTTCTTGTGTGAAGACTGGTCCATGTAATATGTTTCTCTCTAGTGAAGGAAAAATAAAAAAGTTTTAAAGGTAGAAACTAGAAATATAAAGAAAAAAACATTTCCAAATTCAAATAAATGTGTTAAAGAGTTTCAGAAGTTTGAAAAGGTTATGTTAGAAAGCATAATGCGTTTAAAATTTTAATTTTGTTTCCTGAAACTAAGGCATATGGCATAGCACAATACAGAAATGCTAAATGTACTATTCAAACATTTTCTTCTAATTAGATACAAAGGTTTAGAAAGTGACACGATGTACATAAATTAACAACAGGAAGTGCAGTACATATTCATTGGCGAAAAGTATAAAACAATATTTATAATCTAATAAAAAAAGAAAAAGATAATTTAAAAATTATTTAAAATATTTTTGTAATATTCACAAATTTCTAAATTACAATAGCAAACTATATTAATGTTCTATACACAGACCCAACAAAAACTTTGATCCCCTGTAAAAAAGTTAAATTATATGCCATACAGTCCTCTAAAAGTAAGTAAATAATTAAAATAAATTGTCATTGTTTCAGTAAGATTCTATACCCATTTCTTCTTTTCACTCAGAAAAGACAAATCAATGTCTGCTGTAATCTGAACATGTCTCTCCCTGTGTGAAACTGTGCACACATGTAGAATTTTTCTTTTTAATATATATCCTTTTAATTAAAAGTCCCTTCATGTTAGCCTTTTTACTTTTAATACATTTTTTACAGGTTTGTAACCTTGACTAGGACTAGGACTTGACTGTTCAATAGTGCAGAAGCATGCTAACGAGGGAATCAAATTGTGCTTTGCCTAAAGCAGTGATCTACCTCACAGGACTCTCGTGGGATATACCCTTAATTTCTTCTTCTTTCTAACTCTGTGTATGTCCTTTAAATATAATAAATTAATTATTCCTCTAAAGTGTACCAGTGGGAATTTTTTCTAAAAGCATGCTGTTCTGAGCTCAGCATACAGTCACATTGTTGAAGAAATCAACTAAACAAGAAAATGCATGTCCCCAAATTTGCTGTGAATTACTGTATGTTTCTTTCATCATGTACTCTTGTAACCTCTTACAAGAATATATCTCTTGCATGAGAACTCCTTACGTATTGCAGATTCAAGCAAAAAAAAAATGCAATCTGTGATGTGCAAGTGATAGCCTTTGTTTGAAGCAAACTGTAAGCAACTAGACTATACCCGCCAAATCCAATCAATAATGCAAGTCTGTCCTGGATTTAAGAGACAGTACATAATTTCTGCATCTGGAGAACACATTTTTTCTAAAAATAGCTTTTCATTAAAACTGTTCTTTTAGCCTTAACCTTATTTAATTGTTTGGATTTGTGAAACCTTAAGTACTAAAAACTTTTAGATTTTATATTAAAAAATAAGATACTGTAATGAAATCAGCCATATTTCCAGGACATTATTTTAATTGCTGAACACATTCTATGAAGTCAAGTTTCTCTAATGTAAATGATCCCCAAAATGTAATTCTTTTAAATGAAATTAGACAGAGAGACACTCAAAATAGAAACAGAACATGGTACATAAGTAATTATTTTGCAATTAAAGCTTGCAAACTACTAAAGACACACAACAAAATCATTTTATAGATGTCTTTACATTGAAGGTCAGAGATAATTTAGGAGACATTTGCCAAACACAAATTGGTCAGGGCAATTGGTCTTCATTAAATCCAAGTTAAGGATTTACCTAAGAAACACACTTGAAATAATTCTGCCATGTAACTGAGAGAACTTATTTAGGGTTTACGCCATATTGAGAACAATAAATTCCAATTTATAACCTTGAACAGATTTATACGTAAAAAACAGAATGTCATTTTCTAGAATTAATTAACCTCAGTGTATGCAACAGAAGCACTTAATTAGATGCAATAAACCGTAAAAGACATTTAACAGAGAAATCTGGTTTGATTGGGTGAACATGCTATCGGTGAAGTAGAATTAGGAAGAGCTATCACAAGAAGAGTTTAAGATACCCTGGAAATTTATACAATCAGATTGCAACAATTGATACAAAAAGACACTTGTTTTTTTTACGGAACATACTGTATGGAAAAATGTCAGTTTATGTCAGTATGAAGCATACTATGCATTGAAATAAGTCTGCATTATGTAGCTATATATTTTTCATTATAATTTGTGTATATGAAAATGCATCGTCAGTAATAAATTCATCATATAGGAGTGGAATACAAGTTTTAATTTTAAGAGTGCATGGTGGTACAAAAATCAATAAATTAATCTATACATTGTTATAAGCCATTGCTGCAGATCCCTGGAGAAGCTGCATTTATTGGACTAACAGAAAGCTAGCTCCAGTCAAAGGCGACTGTAAAGGTTTCTGTTTTAAGCATCATAAGTAACAAAGAGGTGATATCGCCTCATTGAACAAAGGAACACTTGGGAAATTAAAATTCACTAGATGCATAAAACTCTTCAAAGGTTTATTTCAAAATGTTATAGGTCTTTGGAAACCAAAGCAATGCACAAGTGAAAAATAAAGCATGATAAATGCTAAGAGGTAAAAGCCAGGAAGAGTGAACAAAGTCCTCAGCCTGTTACAAACACACTTGGGGTAACACTAATAGCTCTTTAACAATAGAACACTACATCTAAACACACTGTTTTGTAACTACATGTGAAGCTTAATAATGCTTTCTCACACGAAACTACCCAGTTTAAAGGAAATTTTCTTCTACCTCTGTTCATTGTGTCCCTTTACAAGCTACTACTTCATGAAAATTTTCGTGGAAACTTACATCTCTGACTGGGTGGAAATTAGTGATAGTTGTACTGTAGGTGGGTGTTCTAGGAACTCTATATAATACCACCCCCAGCCAAAAAAAATACACTTGTGGAAAAACACTGGTGGAAACATAAAGAGGAAAGAAATTAGACTTGCTCAGTGTTTAATCCCACTGGGGATTTCATTGCAAAGAGCAACGTATTGAAAAATCACTGTTTCATAATAACAGTAATATAATGCTTCATGCCCCATTATAGTTGAAAGCGTGAAATTATTTTAATCCAAATTAAGCCATCAGATCTTTGATAACTCTGGTTTAAATGACAACGACGCATGAGAATATGGTGGGACTTTATAAATCAAAGGGTGTATGAAGCATATGATTGATTAATAAATGAATTTGAGAAAAAATAGCTCCATTGGTTCAACATTGAGAACAGGTTATATAACAAAAACAGTTTTACTTCTTTTCTCCTTTTTACAAGCCCATAATCAAAACTAGAAATGAAGGAAAGATTTTCAGAATTCTTGCTATTTACAAGATATGTGCTTTTCTAATAAGTGAGTTCTATTACATTTTGATATAAAGCCCCATATAAATTGTTTTCTAAAATGACCCTTTCAAATAATTGATAATAAAATACACCTATTCTGCACAAAGTTCTCCGTAGCTGTGATCCAGATATAACTTTAACGTAATATAGTCAGTGATGCAAACAAACCACATTACTAGCAATAGGACTTGCAGTTGGTTTTAAGACATTATAATCAGTAATATATCAGCTCAAAAACTTTAAGTAACACTTAAGACTTTTAGGTTTTTTTTTACCATCTCTGTCTTTAGTGTGCAAGGTTGCTGATCAAAACATAAGTGATACTGTCAGTCTTGGCAAAAGGCAAAACAACTTCCAACTATCAGAAACATGTGGATTGCTTTGAAGCAGTCAGTCAAAAAGTTTTCAAATATTCAAAATATTTCTCTAAAGAAAAAAACTATGCAGATTGTGTCTTGAATCAAAGACGGTTTATGGGACATTTTACCTGCAAGGCACTCCTTGAATGACAGAAGTATTAGCAGTTTCCATGGCAACAACATCTTCAGTTTCCAAGGTCAAAGATTTTTCCCATCCAATCACCAAAGAACAGAATATTTCCTCTGCAAATGCTGTCTTTTATCTGTGGAAACAGAAAGTTGAATGGGCAGTAAAGCCACAGTGGTTTGCAATACGCTCACAGTCTGTGCAAAAAAACAGAACTGAAACTGTAGGAAAATCAGTTGGTGATTAATAAATAATTCATTCATCCAAATAAATTCAAGGCAAGATACCCTGCCTAAGGAAAAAACAGCTAAAGATCCTCTGGCGTTGATATTTACACATTTTGCAGCTACCATATCTCCCAAGAGCGGGAAGAAAAAGAGATTTAAAGGATTACAGCAGCAAAAGACTAGTACAAATCATTGCCAAAGGCAATGTTTGGATTCCACTAAAATTATTGGTTCAACATATTTATATTGTATTACTTGGTATAATAAATTTACAAAACTGCACAAGTACCCCCCATTTCACTTAAAAGGATTAAGATGAAATATATGAAGTGGTACTCTTAAAAGCACACTATATGACTCTCAGCTGAATAGGTATTAAATGAACCTGACCTCCTCTGCAAATGCTGGTGAGCACAATTTATCAACCACGGGAAGCCATGTATTAAACTTTAAAGTTGATCAGTAAGGCAGCAGTACTATAAAGTGTGAGCTAACTTCCAAGGATTATGAACAATACAAATGTGACCAGGATCATTCAAAGTCAGTGATCTTAATATCCAATTCTTTGGACATGATGCATTTACTATATCATGGATTTAACTATTTATTTTTATTATAGAATTGTTCTTTCCTAAACATCAATAGATTTAACATTGTGAACAGATTCTCAAAGCTTATTTAAAGCCTATCATTTGTTTTGTTTTTTTCAATATAACATTAATTTCATGGCATATATGACAGATAATTTTGCCTATTTCAGATTTGAAGTATTTTTCTTAATTTCTATCAACTGTTCTCAATTGTTACATTTTTGTTTTTTTCTATCTAACTATCCTTTTGACAAACTCATTTCAAAATAAAGGATATCTTATGATAAACTAAATTTGGAGAAAATTCTTATTGGTGCCAAAATGGCATGGACAAAGAAATTAAATTTGACAGAATTGATTATGTACATCAATTATCTATTTCGTAGGACTTAGAATTCTGACCTTCTACCCTTAATTTCCAAAATCAGGATTATTGATTCGGTTTTCATTTTAACTCTGTTGTTCTCCCTACAGGGTTGGTATGAGTCTCAATCAACTAAAAATGAGCAAGTCAATAACAGGAAATTTTGTTGGCATCGTCCCATATGAGAGTTGCAGAAAATGATATATTTCTGTCATACCAGAGAGAAATTATGCTGCAATAGTATCTAAGAAACAAAAGACTAGGATGTTACTCTTCATATACCATTCAAACATCTCAGAAAATATTAATGCTGTGTATTAGATGGGCAATAAAACACGAAATCATTTTTATCAACTTGATAAGCAGCTCCAAAATGAAAACACACTTCTCTTTGATTTAACAGTGTGTGTCACTACACTACCCTATAAAAACAATTAGAGAACAGCCCTAATAGTAATAGGCACTTCTGGTGGTAAGTCCAAGTGTAATTGATTCCTCTACATGTCTAAAGATGGCTGTGAAGATATGGGGCCACTCAGCTCTCAGCAGGTGATGCAGTTGTGCATGCGATGTGTGTAGCAGTGAACTGCACCTGATGCAGTGCAATACAACATTTCACATGTGATCAAGGGGATCAAGATCTGGGACAGCCATTGAAGAATGCTAATATTCTGAAAACCACTCCTTCATCACCCTGGCTCCTTGAACTGGTGGGAATTCTTTAGTTTCTCGGGTTCTCATGTGTACTTTGTTTTGTTTTTTTCATCAGTGTTAAATAGCATGTCTTGACTGATCACATCTTATACTTTATACTTCCAGTGTTAAGTCTTTCAGTTTACAATGCCACAGTAGGCAGATGGTGTGGTATTTCTGTCACTTGTAGTTTGTGTATTGCCACAACTTTGAATACCCATTTCCTGCATTTGTTGGCATGTACTGTACCAATGTGATGTCAAACTCGGGTATCTTCCTTCCACTCTTGAACTCTAAAGAGAGATTTCTTCTAAATAAATATGAAATCATCCATACTTTTTAGGTGAAGTAGCATATTTCAGCCAGAATTACATGGTTAGTGTTTTTTATTCACTATCTAGTGCTTGTAAACCCTTGATATTGTCTGAACTAACACATAGTTAACCAGTTCAGACGAGGTCTGCTGGTCCTTATAGCGATGTGCCGGGGGCACCAACAAAGCCTTGCTTGCACAGCACACTGAAACAAACTCAAAAAAAGAAACCAGGCAAATCCCAGGTCTGCTACTAATGTAAAGTCCTGAAGACAGACATTTCTGTGCATTCCAATTCCTTTGGACAATATGTCTTAAGGAACTTCTAATTCTCTAAAACAATTTATGACATGGTTGCAAACTCTGTTTCAGTAAATACTTGAGTACAGTTTCATTGAATAATTTCAACTGCTAGACATCAAATAAGCTAGATGGACCAAAAGACCTGTTCTTATTAATGACATTTCTAACATTTTAATGATATAACCATATTTTGTCATTTTCAATTGTGTATCAGCATGGCTCAATTTCAAAACCCTCTTATCATCACAAGATGACTGAAAACACATAAGAATGAAAGGTGCACTCCCATTTGCATTTTTCCACATAGTAAGTCTGTAGGAGTACAGCAGCATTAGAATATGGAATGACGCAGCTTTCATTCACTATAACCAAAAGTTCATAGGTTCCCCACAAGTGCGAGAAGTCACTGATTTGCTGCAAGTCAAAGAAATCCTGTCCAAAAGAAGCCCAGTCTACCCATCGAGAGATTAATCACCTTTATATATTGTGAATAAGGAAACTCGCACTCAGCAAAAATATAACTCAGAAACAAGAGATGACTGGGCTAAATTGTTCAGCCTGTATTTCAAATGAGCATGTTTACAGCTTGAGATATGCAAGAATTAATTGGTATGTGTTATAAAGCTAAAGTGTAGGTCTACTTTCATTTCCACTTTTATGGTCCAGTAAATAAACTTAGGAAAAAGCAGCTATAAACTGTTCTCGGGTGCTTACAATATGCAACACAGAGTTTTTACAAATTGAAATAAAAACAATCACAATCTACCAATTTCAGGAAGGAATAAAATAACATCTTTAAAAGACATGTTAAGTAGTTGTCTAACAAGCTCCAAATGCTAGTAGCCATTAATATTGCTGCTCAGGGGAAATGATTTATGCTAATTTATGTTCACTCAAGTCAGCTGTCCCTTTTCACTTTCAAGCATACTGTATCAACTTTCCTCTAGCAGCAGCAAAGCTAATGGTACCCCTGTCCTAATGAACGTGAACTTAAAACACAAGAAATTCTGGTTGCATTTGTGCATGTAATATCACTGCAGCTGCTTGTGTCACAGGAAGAGCCTATAATCCTGTGAGCAGTGGGCACACGAAATTGTCTTCTCACATAATCACAACTCTGTTTTAATGATGGTCTTCTGCCATCCTTTGGGAGGATGTGTATCTTGGTTACACTCCAGAAATTTTAAGTACTTACTCATGATCCCCGTGATTAATTTATATACCCAAGAAAAATACAATGGTAATAATTCTTATGCCCAGCAGACACTGGTCGCAGGTGTTCAAAATACCAAGTGGGATGAATCTTGGCTAATGATGCCTGCAAGGGAAACCATCAGTCAGATTTCTAAGCTGTTTTCATGTTTTGGCACAGTTAATGTGCTGCAATTTGATTTGGTTAGAAACACAACCTAACTCAATTAAAGGAATAAAAATGACCGTCGGCATCACATTGTTTTACAACAAGTTTATTTGAATTTAAGGTAACAGGAACCAGACCTGTCCTGAAATTAAAAATAAAATGTTCAAAATAAAATGGACAAAAGAAACTGCCTGGTCATCATCAGAGAAACACTGACACTGAGCCAAGCACTCCTAAAGCACAAAAATGAAAACTAACATTCTACAAAATTTGTCACTGAGTAATTGACAGCAAACAAGGCTACAGAGACATACATTAACACAGTGTGATTCAATTAAGACTGGGAATTATATGATTTTTATAGTTTGTGAATATATTCATGTTCATTTCACACCTCTCTGCACCCATTCTGACTTCACACCTCTTGATTGGCCTCTCTTTCTGTCCCCTGCTCCCGCCTCTCACTCCTCCTCCCTCCCAACCTTTGTTCTCCCGCTACTTTACCTTTGCCTACTGCCCTGTCTCTCTCACACCTGAAGAAGGCTCAACGGCCGAAACGTTGTGTTCTCTTTCTTCTTTTTTTCAGCATGGAATAAACCTATTACTTGTTCCTTTGCAGCCTACGCATGCTGACGCAGCTACCCACCTGAACTACATATTCATGTGTAGTACACAGTACATACTGTATAGACGAGCATAACATAAAACTTTACTTGTATGGTTTTTGGGGACAAAGTAATTTGATTTTGGTTATTGTTCAAATGTTTCTGGATCATTTTGATGAATTGATCATTATTGACTGTCTGTGATAAGTCACTCAATTGTATTTGCATAAGCACTACATCCCCTCATTAGTGAAGGAGTTGATTGGGCAGAGATGATGTAACCTTTTGAATGTATAGTAAAAGTCAAGATAGAAATAAAAATAGAAATGGAACAAGACACCACCTTATTAAAATAACAAGGCCTTTATGCCATAGATATGTTGGAGCCTAGACTAAGGCAGGGCAGTATTGCCTGCTCTCAGTGTAGTGTACTGTATGTCAAGTGAATTTCCAGTCTTGCAAGATGGCTAGACACATCATTCCTTTAATGATACACCACCTTTTGGAAAACTGACACCTTTACCAAAATGAATGGGGAGATCCAAATGTGAACGTTGAAACAAGTGTATCTAGTTGAATACCACAGTGTTTGACAAAAACCTGGCTAAATGAACACTGAACAACTTCTAGGGTTTCACATGCTGAACTACCAGTGGGCTCATCCTGATGTGATAACGTTGT